AATTTCTTAACTTGCAATATTTCGGCACCATTACTTTTTTAAAATAGTGTTAGTTTTTTGCAACTAAGAAAGTAAACCAAATTGTATCTTTAACTTTCTGCTTATTATTTTATTCTTCTTATATTTTGGAGTTTAACAAATAGGACAGGGATGTACTGACTGGATAACAACTGTATACTTTATAAGTTTCCCCTTCAGCTTCCTCCCAGAGTGCTAATTACATTGTTACATTTGTTAACATTTTGATTTTATTACATTATTGTATTCCTCGACAGTATAAAAAAACATCTGTGTGTTCTTCAGCATGGACAAAAGTTCTTTTTGTTGTTGTGTCCTTCGCTTTTTTTTTTAACCTGTCTTGTTGCTCCGGTTGAGCTGCAGCTTCTGGAGTTGAGTGCCCTGCTCAGACAAAGTCAGATAAAAGAAATGCCAAATCACCAGATAATGTTGCACTGGCATCAGTATGATAGTATGGTAGGATAATAAAGTATTGCCCCTATTGCTTAGTGTTTTAAAGAGCATTTAAATGCAAATGGTTTGCCTCAATTATAATAATGTTATTATTAAACTGAACATCACAATCTAAAGGAAAAAATGTATATGGCTTTTATATGGCTCGTTCCCTGAACAATGACTATATAGTATGATATAGTAAATATGCAGAGCACAGAAGAAGCAGCAGCACTTGAATGGTGACATTCATTTGTGCAAAAGGGAGATGTTATACTTCCTAGATTCTTCCATAATATTATTAATGGTATTTCGTGAGAGGAAGACGTGAGACTGCTATACAACTAATGCTAAGCATCCAATTAAATGTGCTAATACTGTAAATAGCCTAAACATGTACAGTACAATTCACACAACATGCTTTCTGATATCAAATGGGTGGAATTTTTATTACCATCATCAGAAAATAAGGTTTGAGGCATTGTATTATGGAAAGTGAAAGCATTCTTTAAATGAAGGCATATCAATGTAGACACCATAGTTATTTCACTATTAAAAGGGTAAATTGATCAATCATGTCTTCCTGTAGCCTTATCCTGTCAGGTCAGTGAAGGCAAGGACTGTATGTAGCCAAATACTTGGTCCAAAATTGTTCCCTAGGTTCGGTGATAGGAGGCACTATGCTGCAGTCCCTGCCATTCTTTGATGTATTTTAAACAGTGGTCCTGTCCGTGCAATGGTTTTTGTTAAAGCAAATGTGTTAGTACTTGTGGATACAGGGTCAGAACCTCCTCCATGTGATTGGTTTTAAAAGACTTGTTTCTCCACTCTCAGTTTGTTAGGCTGTTTCTATGGCCTGTTGGGTGGTGGTGTGTGGTTGTAAAACTGGATGCTTAGTTCCACCCCCTGAAGTGGCAGCTGTTCAAGGGATGATTGTTCATTCAGTGGAGGTTTTATAGTGAAGTCCCTTGCCAAGCATAGCTGGTTTGTTTTTTCACCTGGGGTCCTGATGCATTTTAAATGTAGGTTATGCATTGCCAGGCCAGGCCACAGATAATGTTAAAACCAGGAATGGGAGAGTAGAGCTGCACAGTGGAGATCTGCTTGCTTCCACGCTGCATTTAATGAAACTCTTCACTTTTCATTTCCCAGTATTTATGTAACATCTTAGAATGTATCTCCTACTTACTACATAAATAATTGAAACAGAAAAGAGAAGTTCTTTTTTAAAAGCTTTACATTAGGATTAAATAATAATCAGGATGCAGCTCCTGTGTAATATCTTTTGACGTTTTCATGGTCGATTGAAATAGTATTTTCATAAGGCGGGTAGGATGGAATTCAGAAGGTCTGATCTTCTGAAAGGTGTATTGTTGATTTTAATGAAATTATAAATATATACATGCTACTGACGCTTGGGCTGGAAGGTTTAAATATAAATGAGACTGTTGTTTGTAAGTAGTTGATGTTCTATTTCCCAATGTATTATAAGCCTCAGGCTGTGTTTGCCCTCTATTAAAAATTTACTTTATTCACTGAGGCTAGTTATTAAACCCAGGAGTCTCCTTTATGATGGTAACTTTCAAGTTGATTGTAACATTGTGAGGTGATTAAAGGAAGTTCATTGAAAGGTCTTTTAGCTATTCCGGATGATTGATCTTTTTAAGCCTTTGATATAAAAGTTAACAGTGCTTCTTTCCCTTTGCTAATGCCATCCAAGATTCCAATTTGTCATTTCAGATGTAATTATAATGCTTAATTATCCATTATGAATGCAGCAGGGTTTGATATATTAGAGATAATAACGTGAATGACTGTACTAGGCATCTTGTCATACATTTTTTATATTTCGACTACAGCTGTTCTGGATTCACTTATACATTCAATAGGTGTGTTACATTTCTTTGTATTGTTTTTTAAATATATGTTTTACTTGACAGAGACTCTTGATCTTGCTTCTTGAACATTAATCTCTGAATCTCAGATCATTATGAGAAAAGCAAAATAAACAAACGCAGCATAACACATTACTAAAATAGTGAACAGCATGTTTTGCAGTGTTGTCTTGACATTTTCTTGAGAAGATCTCAGAATGTGTGTACTGTTCCACAACAGATAATCCCATGTTAAGTGTACAGATTGGATTGTCCCTGTGAGAACAGTTTAAATCCAGAGTCTGACCACATGAGCTGCATTAGTATAAGCTTGGAAACAAGTCAACTGAAGCAAAAGCACTGTGTTTAAAAGGTAATTTGTGTGGTTAGCATACAGTGGGAATTCCCTAGGAATGAAAAACTCCATTTGCTGTTGAAATTCTGCATTGATCACAGTTTGTTCTGTGTTGTGGTGTGAAAATGTTAAAGTTAATCTGGAATGGAACATTGCCTTTTTGTGCTCTTTTACAAGCAGAGCAACATTTCAGAGCTACAGCCATCTGCTAGCTCTTTTTTCTAGGTCTGTGGATCATTTAGAAACAATCAGTGCGGTCAATGTTTGTGCTGACATATAGTATAGACTGCGGATTGCTTTGCTTGTCACGTGACTGTAAAGAAATTCAGAATTGCATTTCATTTCAGGATCCATGGAAATGTGATTTAATTGGTGAGCATACTTTTATGATAGAGAACGTAAGTGGCAGAAAATGATGCACTGTTTTCTGTTGCTCTTGACAAATCACCTCTCTGATCTAAAAAATGGTGAATTTGTCTTCAGTCACTAAAATCAATAAAACATGGCAATATCATAGTTTGAAAACAGCAGTGGTGCCTAGTCAGCCATTTTGTAATAAGGATTGAAGATTTATTTTTCTTCCATAAGGTTTTCAGAGAGTGAGCAAAGCAGAAGCATGCATGACAAGCCAAATGGAATTATGTTTCTGTTAATCCAGGAAATATGGAAGTCAGTTTCTCAGCTACCATAAAGCAGGTACCATCAAGCTCCTGACTCATAAGCTGTTTCATATGCGCTGTTGCAATGTTGTGTGACAGGAAATTGCCTCCTAGCCTGCAGCTTTCACGCTGTAACTTCCAGAACTAGCATAAATTATTTTTAGAGGTTAATTTGCTGTAAGATATTTTCCACACAAATCTACACATATATGTGCGACTGTGCCCCTAAATTAATGACACGGATATGGCTTAGAGTAAGCCTCATTATTTTTTATGTTTTCCTCCTACCCTTTTGCATGTGGTTTTAAATTATCAGGCTACTTCAGAAATTGAAGGTGTTTGCTATAAACCTTTCACACATGGAATAGAGCTTTCTGGACATTAAGTGCAGGGGGAAACAGTCTCTACGCGTTCAATACAGTATTACTTCCAACAACCAAGTTTTTTTTTTCTCTTTAGTTATCATATATCTCCACCTTTTCTCCTACAGTACCTACTAGGAATTCATCACAGCTCACCATTCACAACATTCACATCCCTCCAAAATATTGACGCACACGTCAAGTGAGACCACAGAATGATACGCAGTCAGATGGTGAGCAGTGGTATAGCTTTTATTTGAATGAGCAGTCTCCAAACTACAGAAGACATTGCGGAAACGGTCTCTTTTTTTTTCCTGTTGAAAATATAACATCTTCTCATCCATTCTTAAAGCACTTCCTGAGTAAATAAGTTATTGCAAATATTCCATTTAGAACCGAGTTGGAACAATACATAATCACCACGTCTGTGATACTGCGATCCACAATTGCACCCCCAGATAGTTTTTAAGTTATAAGAAGGAAAGAGTGTCATATCTTATATTTGCATATCTATGAGCTTTGTTTGCAGCAGGGACAAATGGGATGTGAGAGGGGGAGAAATATCTGCAATTGCTTTTAACGAACACCCTGAGAAGAGGCACTGTCACGCGTCCAGTGGCAATCATACAGGTGGAATGACTCCTTCAAATCCGAAGTATTGCCACTTGAAAAGAGATGTTTGATGTTGTGCTTGAGGCAGCTGCAGTTGTTAGTTTTAGATAGTCATTAAGAATAATAGTACAGGTGCTCAGTACTAGGCTCTTGTCTTAATAGAGCATCTTCATTGAAAGCTTGATTGATGTACCATCCATTTATAAACACACACACATATCAAGAGCCAATGAGCCATATCGAATTAATTTCTGTGAATTAGTGAAAAACTAACAATGTGGCACAACATCATTTTCTCAGATGTCAGAACACATATAATTTGATCCCCATGCAATGCCTTTGTATGGATTGCACAGGCTCTGATGTATCATTAATATACAGCATACAGTACATGCATAAGATGCCTTTGAAGTATGCATGAAGGCAGTTAAATGTCTGCTTTGAGGTGACTGAGGAATTTAATGTTTTGAAAAAAGTTTGGACAACACCAATACTATTTGGAAAACACAAATACAAAAAAGAGGACAAATAATGTGAAAATACAATTTTAAAATATCCCATGATTCTGAGCATTTGTTTTTGCATAGAAGAATTGTGGCATGTGCTTAGACTGCTGCAATCACAGCGTATCTTTGAAGTCTAAGAAAAAATACTGGTAGAAAGTGCTACTTTCATTTTTTCTTCCCAGGCACTTCCTCCCTTTGTGATTACTGTGGCAAGGACAGATGAACATGAACATGGGCATCCCTTTGTTTCTAGCACTCTGATTTTCAAAGGAGAAGAAAAGAAAAGGAATTGAAAAAGACTTGAAACACGCTATATTCAGCGAAGCTTTTCTGTGTGATGACAGACCTTTTAGTTATTTTCAAACTTAAAAGGTAACCAAACTGACGTTTTACAAATAAATAGATCTAGGTGTTTTTTTTTTCCCTTATTTAAAAACATACCAGTGGCAGTTGTCATTAAGTTGATGTTACGTGTTGGTAGAATATTTTAATACAAGTAGAGCGTAGTATGTTTAAAACTTATGACAAAACAATTTACAACTTTAAGACAATTGTCATTGAGCCACCTTGGTATTATCATTTTGTTGTCAAGTTGGTGACCCTGTTATGTAGCATAGCATTAATTTCATTAGAAGCTGATCTGACTTTCGCATCCCTTGAAGTGTGAGAAAAGTTGGGAGTACCCTAAATGATAGCATTGAATGTTTCAAAGTATATTGGAACTGCAACAACATTTAAAAAAAAAGCCTACTAGGTTATTTTTCAAAGCTTTGTGTTCTAGTGTAGCATTTAACCTCAATTTTCTGAAATAAATTGTGCCAAACTTCAAATATTCTAATGTTTCATAGTGAATCAATAGAAGTTTATTCTTCTCAGCAACAATTAATCCCAAAGTCTTCTGTGTGTTGACAGCTTGATGTATGTACTGTACACAAGATAGAGCATCCAGTTCGTATTACATTGCAAAATTCAAATTCAAATTCAAAGCTGGGTCAGTTTAATTTTTTTTTAATAAAGTACAGTTTTACATCTAGTTAAAATATAGTAACTCCCAAAGATGATCTTCAGTTATGAAAAAGAGAAATTGATCTCAATATGTTTGAGAAACATAGAAGCAAGAATATACTGCTTTGCTTTTAAATAAAATTCAAACCAAACTAAGGTGCGTGGTAAATGTCAAGGTAACAGTGTTTCTTATACAGTACCAGCAATTGAGAGAGAGGAGACTAGATAGCACAAGGTGAGTCTTGAGTACCCCGTGTGCAGTCGACAGTCACAGAGGGAGAATGAAAGAGAGTAACGAAGCTGCAAAACTGACTGCTGCTGTGTTAGGGATGCAAATGTTTGTTTGTTTTTTTATAGAAAGGTGTCCCTGGCAAAACAGGATCAGCCAGTACAAGAGTAGGTGACAAGCGAAGGAGTGAGTCAAGATGATTATTCAACATGGAGAGTAAGGATTGAAAGAACTGGTAATTACAGAGTAAATCAGATTGATAACGCTGGGCATAGGCCTGGTGTTCAGTGAACATAGAAAGCACTGTGCACCAGTTAATTTGGAATGTAATTAAATGTTCTAGTGCCTGGAGGAAGGTGTGAATAGAGTGGAAGGCTTGAGAGATTGTGATGGCACACAAGTCTGAAAGAAGGGAGTTACAAGATGTGTGTGGGCAAAGTCTGGAGTTTGTCTTTCTGTTATTGGGTAAAGACTGTACCGTTCTCCAAATGAACAGGTATGTTTGAAGACTAAAACAACATTTGAACAACAGATAAGATCAGAAAGTCTCCTTAACACGGGCAACAGTTTCTGGTCACCTCAAAAATATGAGAAGGATCCAAATGTAAAACATGTGCAGAAAATTCAAAAGAAAGTGCTGGTAATTATTTTAATAGTCCCGATATTTGGATTCAAAAGCCTTGAAACATGAAACCCCACCATTCCTTTCTGACTGCAGTTCCCTAGAAACATTAAGACATTAATCATTTTCATGTGGTTTCATGTCATACAATGTTTGACCCCTGACAGCATTATTACTGATATAATTTTATACTTAATTATCCTACAGGGCCATGACAGGATTACATTTTTTATTGTACGTATAAAGCCTATGACTTCAGCGGGGGTTATGTTTGTTCTGAAGGTGGAAGGTAATACAACTGTGAAAATTGACTTCAGTGCTATTTAATTAAGCAAGAGATGGCTGTGCTCATTCTCAAGGTGGTTTAAAAAAAAGGAGTTGCAGGATTTACAGCCACTGTAATGAACTGCAATTACTTATACTTGTAACACTTTCAGGGAAGACCTTAACAAGGAACATAGGCTGCCTTTAAAAATTGGCATTTCAGTTTCACAAGGCCACTAAGAACAAAAAGATAAAATGTTGAATAAAATATTTGAAATTTTATAAAAAAAGCTCAAGGGACTTTTCTTACCTTCAAATATTTCTGCAATGACAAAGGAACCAAGTTTTTTTGTGAACTGTTATAAAACTATAACCAAAAATATACATGCATTTTAATTTGAATAAAATATAATTTGCTGTAAAAATGTGCACACAGATGTAGTAATATTCACACTGAGGTGTATTCTTGATAGAAAAGTAGAATGTGTGGGGACACTTTGACAGCTGTGACATAGGGTTTTATGAAATGCATTTGCATTTCAACGGATATGAAAACTAAGTAAAATACGATGTACAAATCATATGAACAGCTAAATTTAGCTGCAACTGCAAAACAAATCTCTGCTTTGGCTCTTCAGAAGGCGATGCACAGTGGTGTCAAATGTTCTGTTTTCATCCCTTCATCTCCTGGAGTGTCCTTGGTGCTGTTCATTCTTTTAGCTTGTCTTCAAACCTTGAGTAATCTGCTCACTTGGGCTGCTGGACATTATTTGTTCTTTTGTCTCCTTCCATTTTTCTTTCCAGTCTTTGTAGTTTTGAAATTCCCCCCTCACACTACTGGAAACAGGTGCTCTTCAGGGGAATGTTGAGGTCTTTCTGATTTTAATGTCACTCCCTATTTGTGCTTTGATTGGCTGTGCATCTTGGTGTGCTATTGATGCTTTCTCACATGTGAAACCTGAAGAAACCTGAATATGAATCACATTTTCATGTGTAGTCACGATGGTTTGCTCACGTTACTATTCCTGTAGAATTCCTATAATATGTCTGCCCAGGCTTATTGTATTCTGTGGAAGCTTTTTCTACACACTCTGAGAAAGAAATGAATAAAATGTATAGATTTCATTATAGAACTCTGACCTCACTGATTTCTTTCTGTGAATTTTCCCAGGAGTTACAGTGTTTTCATCTGGTATTTTTTCTATGGCAGTTTAAAATCTTCTCATCCTAAAAACATGTTGTGCAACTGTGCCTAAGGGCATATGGACCTGGCCCAAATTAAAGCCAGTCAAATGTATGCAGACTTTGATATCCATTTTAGTATAATGTTTGTGCCAAAAAGAATTACCTCCTGCATAGCATTTTCTGTGCTGTCATGAAACAGTACACATCATAAAAGAGGCAAGTGAGGATACTGGTGTCCTTATCCTAAACTCTTTTTTTGTTCAAACTCAAACAGGCAGGCTTGTCAGTTTCAGTTCTGTTTTGCTCATAAGTACATTTGGTGTTTTAAATCAGTTTGACATCCCACCCTGAATGAAATGACTCTATTTTTATGTATCATATGTCCACTCGCTCACGTTAAAGGATGATCCGTAATATTTTGAAGCCTACCCATATTCATTATGTTTTGTTAAATTATGTCCAAGTACCAACTTCATCTCAGTGAACTTTGCTTTTTGGTGCCGATACTGAGGGCTGTGCTACAGTCTTCTTTAATAATGATGCTGAGACATGGTTTGCTCCCACCTGCTCCCTCCTTCATGTGGGTAAATCAAGTAATCTACATTCTCACCACTTCATAAAGGTGATCCTAGACCTTTGGCACAAAGGGACAAAAATGTACTTCTAGGGGCTTTTGATTGACTCATACTTTCTGAAGGCTTCTGTTCTGTGCTGAGTATGTTTCCCAGTCGGCAGTGAGATTAGGAGGGATGAACGTCTACTGTAACGTTCTTGTCATGCTGTTTAGCACTTTCCTTGTGGCTGCTGGGTGGCTGAATTTGCAGTATAATGAGTGAGAGTGAGACTCTCCCATTTAAAATGTATTTCCTGGCTCTAATTTTTGCACTATATTGTAGTCCAGAAAGAGGTGAATGTTAAATGAGTGTTTCAGAGGACACTGTGATGATAAAAGAGTTATACTGTAGTTATAGTTGTACATGTAGGTTGATTAAAAATGGCATTTCCCAGGTGAGAGTAACTAAAGGAAAATGATTAACTCTTTAAAGTAAAGAAGGTCATTCTACTTTTCTTGGAATATTTCCTTAGGATTTTAGCTGTCCTTAGGACAAAAGTTGTCCTTGGGTTGTAATTAAGATTAATGCTTAAGTGCTTAAGGCATATTTATTTTATGACATGACTGTCTTCTATATTTCGGTATTAAAAATAGAAAAGAAAATGAATCGCATGTTGTAGAAAGAAAGTTAATTGAGGTTAGGTATGAGAGGCACAAGTGAGTGAAGGTAGACGACTGAAGGATAAGGAAGCCAATATGAAATGCTGTGAGAACTAGTCCATCACGTTTATAAAATCAGATTGACTCCTTGTTCCTTTTAACAAATCCCTAATGCTAAAATACTACATTTTGAACTAATAGATGCAGATCTAGTATACAGAGAGAAGATGGAAGCTGAAAAAAGCATCAAAGACTTCTCAAGTATGAAAATAAATATGGGGAAAGGTCTAGTAAAAGTAGTTTTCAGTATTCAGTATATTCAGTACATATTGGAAAGAAACAGCAAAAGCAACAGCAAGGAATACATTGCCGCACACAAAAAATACAGAGCTGAATATATATATAGCATAAGAATGGTCCACTTACAGTGTGAGAGCAACTCAATTTTAAATCCCATCATTCACCTGGTGAGTTTTCTTAGCTTTTTTTCTTAGCTTTAGTGTGCTGGTGATTTTATTTCCTTGGCCTTAATAAATTGTCCAAGGAAAACATCTCTCAAATGTAGCCTAGTTAGTTTCTTTAAAAATGGTCCACAGTTTCATCCTCACAGTCACGACACAGATGTCAAGAACAACAGTCCAGTACAGCACTTTTTGTGCAGCACAGAAGAATTATAGAGCTCCTTTTCTGGCAGATCTATTAAATATAACTGAGAAGTGTTCATTCTTCATCCTTCAGTATGTAACAATTGTTACTTCACATTAAGCAAAGAATGTGGCATTTTTCTCCAAAGGTCCTAATTCCATTCTGCAGCAGGGAGACACATTCTTATTACCCAAATAGAATGCCAATGCTATATAAGCTTTAAAGCCATAAGTCTCTGATGTATGAAAGGGTCATTATAATTTCTAAGCCAAAAGTACTGAAACACACCTTACTCATGTCTGCTGAAGAATTAGGCGAAAGCATCAAAAGGGCTTAAAGGATACTGGGATGACGGTATCAAAATCATTTAGCCTGATACCTAAAATATGTATTGGATCCCTGCAATGATTTATCTAGGGAGGTTTACATTAGGTTTTTAACACTCTTATTGTTATTTTGACATAGTTCTGCCAGTATTCCATCACTATGCTTTACTGTACTCGACTACAACAATAACATGGCATGACTATTAAATCATGGTGTTCCCATGGTATAGTGTTATAAAACAGTGATGGTTCATTTAACCCATAAGAACCACACCAAATCTATGACAAAACAATGGCAAAAAAGATAACCTAGTGTTGTAAATTTGTAATTATAAACTTTCATATACGAATACATCTCTGAATATCGTGGGGCTTACAATCTCAACATGGGATTTTTTTTCTCATGTGCTGTTATTTCTTCCAAAGGTCACGTTACTGCTCTGAGACATTGCCAAGCAGAATAGTGAAGTGCATTAAAATATGTTGGCTTGTCTCTGTATCTTTTCTCGTTACTCATTTATTACTCCGCATTGGGAAATGGGAAAAGGAATATCCTTGTTTTCTTTTAGATGACTGTGTTGAGTCTTTGTGACACCAGTGCCAGGTTTGATTAAGCTAGCAATCCCATCATGCTATGACTCTCTATTGATTCAGATGTGGTAAAAAATCCAAAGGGAGCCCTTACCTATAACTCTCTATGACCTACGTAATGGCAGATTTGCTCATAATGGAGAAGTCAGAACAATTCAGCACACGTTCCATCTTACTTACCTTTCTATTAGAAACTGCTTTGCTGCCATTTCGGTTTTTAAGAGGTTTATTGTCACAGTGGTCTTCACACACCCTTAAGCGATGGTCTCTTAGCAAACATGGCTGCTGTCATCTGTGAAACTGTTAAGAGTGGTTTACGCTACTGTCTATTTTGATGTGATTTTTCTTTGCTGTATCTCAATGTCATTTATAATAATGCTAAATATTTCACATCTGTCTGAAGAATATCTTGGGCAGGTGCCAGCTTTTGAGGACCAGCTGTTACCTACTGTTTCTCTGTGATTTGTTGAGTGCTGCTTATGTGTGAAATATGAAGGCATTGGTACTGTTGTCTGAAAATCCCATATGATCCACAGAAAGTGAATGAAATCCTGTTCAGATATGACCACCAATAGTATCATCATCTAAGTGTCAGTCACCCAAGTTTTCCATATCAAATGGGTTATTTTATACTCTTTTTTTCCAAGTTGGCTGACATTGGCAGAATCTACCAATTCAATCATTCAATCATGTTGTGTAGTGGATCTTTGTAAGATATAGCAATAACTTTTGTTGTACTAACATGGACTGATTTTTTATTTAAAGTGCACTGGCCTTGCATTCATTGTCTGCTCTGGTTAACCTCAACCTTGTTTTTGTGATAATTAGTTGAAAACAAATGGATCAAATTGTAATTACATACTAATAGCTCATTAGTGTCTTTCTAACATGAGTCAATGGCCATCACATACTGCACAAAGGACTCAAAGTTTATATTGGTTCATTCAATAACAAGTAGTGTGAGTGAGGTCTGTATTTCTTGAGGTCAATATCGTCAAACATATCCTCTCACACAACCCCTGATGTGGTAGGTGATGTATGCTTCTCATCTGGTGGAGAGAAAGCCATGATTGAAGAGATGGAAATATAGCCATCAGAAAAATGAGACAGCTCAAAAAAGTATGTCAATCAGTAGTGCTTGATTTGGCCCTTACATGTTAAATCAGCCTGTTAGAAGTCCGTGCTCAGATTTTGTTAGGGATTTTTAAGGGTTTCTTTTTTTACATTTAGTCCTTTCCAAAAAATAAAACTGTTTAAGTTAGTAATTGTCTTGGAAAGATATCTTCTAATGAAGTAAAAACCCATCCTTAGTTTACTGAACAAGAAGAAAAGGGATTCGTTTTGTAAGAGCGTCCACCCAGTTAGATTTCTCTGAATGTTCACCTTTAATTTTTAATTACACCATTTCTTTTTTATGTTTCTCAAGCATGCAGATTCCTTACATGTGTTTTGAATCCATTCAGTGTCTCTTTTTTCTGTGGGTTGCTAAGTAACATGCTGTGGAGCTAGCAGTCTTTAAAATGGGCATCAGCCATTTTCTGGTTCACTGTTCGTGGTTTTCAGCTGTGTTTAAATGACTAAGATGTATCTGTTTTCCTCCTTGTTCTCTTATTATAATGTGTATTTGCAATGGAAAAATAATTTATAAGTTCTCTGGAAATGCACAGTAATATAAGGAAGTTAGCTTACATGTTGTAGTTAATTAATATAATTGATATAAGGCTTATATACTATTTTTTATAAAATGTGATTACTTTGAGAAGTAGTAAAATGAAATAATTGTTCATGTTTAAATATTTTGGTATCTGGCTTGGTAAGTAGGTTTGTCCCCAATTGCATGGTCCCAGTCCTAGGTTACAGAGTACCTTCCTATTTTCCCCTTCTTCTGGTTACTAGCATCTTTTGTATATGTGATTAACAGTGATATTGTTCTTAAATCATCCATGAACATTAGATTCCACAAAATACTTTGTCAGTTTCTTCAATTGTTTTGTACCTTCAGTCCAGATAGACTTTGTGGTTTGGGAGGACTCTGAATCCATTTTTAAGTAGCTCAGTACGATCCTCCCACCGTCTTATGAATTCCAAGCAGAGAAACAATCGTATGTTTTCTGTCCCAAGCATACAGAA